CAATTTCTGAAAGCAAATACTCCCCTTTCCCTTTTATTGCTGTGTTAGTGCGTGCTGCAGTTACCTTGATAACATGGAACATTTATAATTTCAACAATAATGTTGGATAGGTTTTATCCTTTTGTCTTTCCATGACTCGTCTTTTAAAATCTTTTGAGGTCTATTGCATCCTTATAAATGTGTGCTGAGATTACTCGATTACTAGATTAGAATAGGATTTAAGAAATAGGACTTATCGATACCATTATTAGTATAATGGTATTCCTTTAAATTCTTTCCAGATTCATGGCTGGGCTTATGCTTGATTTTTCCTTCATAAGGCCACTTAATTTGAGGTCAAGCTCTTGGCAATGATTTTGCTTATCAAATTACCATTATTGAAGCGGTTAGTGTAGCTCACTGCTATTTGGTTTTGATAACTACATCTCTAGTTGGAGAACCGCTATCATCATTACTGCACCAAGACATATCCATCATCAGCCTTTTTTAGCTAATGGGGTTCTATGAGGGGTGAATTGGACAAATGCATCCAGACACCCTGTGAAATTTCCTTTTGGACAAGATTATGGATTAGACATAAACATAATAAGGAAATTGCTTCTAGTGTTTACCATGGAGGTTAATTGACATTTCATATGATGCCATCAAGTCCCAGTTTGGCAACTAGTAAAGTATTGCATTTGATTGTCATATTCTTGTTGGTTGTCCTTGATATTTGAAAAGTGCTCTTGTAGTTGTCTTGGTGAAGATTATTTTGGATACGATGTTTCTTTGTTCAGATGACATGTGGGGCATGGATTAGGAAAATGAAGTTTATACTCAAATCACCACAAAATGATTTTTTTTTTATATAAAGGGCTTGTTTGGCTCAACAACTTAATTAATCACTTATTCAATAAGAGCTACCTTTGTTTTAGCAAATTACTGATATTAGCTACCTTTTATAACCACAGGTTATGTGAAATATGCGGAGAGGCTGCAAAAAATGTTTCAGGTGTTACTAGTAATGGATTTATGGAAGAGTGGAATGATAGAAGCTTCATGGATATTGATGGCAACTCATCCCGCAGGGTTGTTGGATGCTGGCGAGGACAGCCATTTTGTAACTTCTTGATGGCATGCCTGGTAATAGCATTTGTTCTGCCATGGTTTTTTCGCGTAAATATGTTCTAGCTGCTCAGTGCTGAATCAAACTCTATTGTTTTTGCCTTCAATTCTTCATACTCACTAATGTAGTGAGTGGATGATTGGTTTCTGGCATACATGATATGAGGCACCATAACATTTTAGTGGGATGTTAATGCTTAACCACATGTCCAAGTTGATATTCTGCGTCTGTGTACTCCGAAGAAGATGTGAAGCTTGACTAGGGATGGCCAATTTGATAACTGGTTGCATACTTTGGAGTGTGTGTTTTTGAGGTAAATGTTGATAAATCCAGTTTACATATATAACACGCAGAGAGAGAGAGAGAGAGAGAGAGAGAGTATATTTTACATTTGGTGGCAATTGATCTTATTTGTAAATATTAAGTAAAGAAATCGCTACAAAACAAACCCAAAGAGCCTCTTTGTTCCTTTCTCCTTTTCACTTCCTTTTATTGTTGGACAATTTTTTGGATTTATTTAACCTCCTAATATAGCTTAAGCACTCGTAGGTTAGCTAAAATGATTTAATGTGTTTTTAGAATTTATTTATTTATTGAAACCAAATTCGGTACAAGAAATTGACAACAACTCTAGCACTCTCTTCAACCAATTTAATTAGACCTGGTCATTTGGAAATAATTTGATAACATAGTTTTCCTACCCCAATAGCAAAAAAAAAAAAAAAAAAAAAAAGGGGAAGAACAAAAAAAGTGGAAGCAACGGTTATTAGTAGTGTCTTTTGTTGCAATACCAATTTGAAGCTTGTTTTTAATATTATGTTCCTTTGAAACCAAAGTAGTATTCTCATGTACCCAAAAAAAAAAAAAATAGTATTCTCGAGCTTAATTGTAAGATGAGTTTACAAGTGTTCTCGCATGTCTGTTTCCGTGGTCTTCTTTATGTAATTGATCTCAAGCCATCAATTAGTTTCGGACCATTGAACATTCATTTCAGACTTATTTCTTGCATTTAAAATATAAACTGAATTTGGATCAAGGTAATGTCGATTTATGTCCCTTCTTCACAATCAAGTGATGACTTTTTTTTTTTTTTTTTTCCAGTAAAAGATCAAATCATTTCCACAGAATTGTGAATACCTTAAGAATACAATAATGGAAAATATAATGACTAGAACATTTGATGATCTAGCCGATGAATGAGTCACCCCATTTACTTCTCTTATAACAAATTGCACCTTGAAATTCTGATTAACAAGAAGTGATGCCTCTTATGCCGTTTCCTTTCAGACCATTGATAAAAGAACATTACATATTGATGCATTGTGAGGCTAGGATAGATGCGGCACAGAAGCCCAAAATTGGAGGCCCAAAGTGTGTTGGGGACAAGGCTCCGGCTACTAAGACACTTTATTTTTTTCTTATGCTCAAGCCCGTTTACAGTAGTCCCAAGTTTATTATTTTTAAGTATACTTTTTTAAAACAAATCATGCTTGATTAAAATAGAGATGAAGTATTTGTAATTCAATTTAAAATTGTTTTTTTATTTATCTTTAAAATAAAAATTATAAATTTAGCTTTAAATTTTCTATAAAAAAACATAATTACTATATTTGATAGTGGTTATTTTTGCTATTTCTTCCACTCCTTACTACTACCACTATTATTGTCATCATTCTACCATATTTGTTGCTACTACAACATATAAGATTTAAGCATTTTAAAATTGGATTTAAGTTCTTTATTTTTTTTTTACATATCATAAATTTTAAATGTTTTAAAAATATTTAGTGTGTTGCTTAATAATGATGTATGTGCATTTAATCATTGTGTTTACCAATCTTTTAAAACAGTATATAAGATAATATGTTTAGATATTTTTTTTTAAATAAATTCAAGATATTTCCTAGTCAAAAAAGTTAAAGAGCAAATTCTAATACAATAGTATTGAGATCTATTTAAAGAACTATGTCACTCAATACATATTTTTTCATTTACATCACATACTTAAAAGATAATGTTATATGTGAATCACAAGAAGTTATGCTGGAATAACATGTTTAGATGTATATGATGATAAAAACGAAAAAGAAAATAAATGCTTAAAATTAAATTTAATCATATTTATAATAGACTAGAAACATTTTCTCACGTATATTTTCTCCATATTATTCCAATTTCTAAATGAAAAGGAAGATCACTATTTTACATCGATACAAATCACCCAATTAGTCAATGCATGATCTTTACACAGGAAATCCGTCCAATACATGGTAAAGAAGTAACAACGATGTTTGCAAGCTTTTAAAACGCCTACACATTCCAACAAAGAGCTAAAGCAACTCAAATCATCATCATCATCTTGATCATCCATATTTTTACCATATGGTCAAAACTTTTCGGTATGCAGTGACTTAGCAATCGATAGAAGTGCATGTCTGGGAGATGGTTGCACTGTCAGGTCTGCTGATAAAGGGATTAATCTTGACCCACACCAGAGAGAAGACAGAAGCCAACAACACTGACCACAGAATAACAACGGTTGGAGTACGGTTTTGGCGACCCATGAGACCCTTAAGGAATGGATAGAGATGAAAAATAACCCAGAAGGCAAAGAAAACCTTTCCAAAAAGTGGTCCCCAAGACTCATATCCTCCATTCAGTGCATCAGAAAATCCAGCCACAACACCAACCATGTTGATAATGATGAGAGTTGTTGGAGGAATTAAGAGTGTGGTCCACTTGATGATGTATAGTTCACCAAACTCAGTGTCATCAGCTGCTTTGGCAGTGACAGTGAAATTGGTGTCAACACCAGCCAACATCTTCAGGAATCCCTGGAACACTGCAAACAGATGGGCTGAAACTCCTCCAATCACCCAGAACTGCTCATTACGCCACAAAGCTTCAATGGTCACACTACTCCACCGCAGTTCAAGCACACTAGTGACTATAATGGAGAGGAAAAGTCCAAGAAAGAGAGCACTTGCAAGGTTGGAAAGCTGCACCATATTAGCAAGTGTTGTATTAGGTTAATAGCCTTAATTTATTAGTTTGATAATCATGCAGTCTCACAATCAATTACAAACCACCATGATAAATCGTTAACTTTTATAACAAATAAGTAAAAAGTCGTACCATTACAGATATTGATGAGTTGACAATGTAAAACTAGTACATGATATGTTTCCAGTTGTCATGAACTGTTTTCATTGGTTGTGTAATTACACATAATTATATGACATTTCTTCACATGGATTAAATGCATGAATTAATCATCAATATATCTAATTTTTTATTAGTTTACTGTTTAAAAATCATGCTTATAACAGTTGTTATGATTTCTAATTAGTTGACTGTGTAAAAATTACATGAAAGTGGATAGAAACTAGACTGTTATGTTATATATCAAAATAGAGATGAGGAAATTACCGTTGGTATGATGAATTTTCCTGTGAGGAGGCAAATTGCAGGTAACGTACAATAAGCAACAAGAGGAAGGGATGTAAATGGGTAGACAATGGTGTTTATGTAAGCCAGTCTCTGCAGCCATTTGAGGCGACCTCCGGCAAAACCATACCATAGGGGGCAGTGTCTACTAAAGAAAATTTCAACTGATCCAAGGGCCCATCGAAGAACTTGGTGCAACCGATCAGAAAGATTGATTGGTGCTGATCCTTTGAATGCAGGCCTTAAGGGCATGCAGTAAACCGACCTCCATCCCCGGCATTGCATCTTGAACCCCGTTAAGATATCCTCAGTCACTGAACCATATATCCAACCAATCTGAATAAATTAACAAGAAAACATGTGATTAAAAAGGTAAAAGAGAAAGATCATAATGTAGCTCGAATGATTTTTTAGTTGGTATAGTCAAGTAACAATAGTATCATCACTGGTAAAGGGCATTAGCATTTGAGTCTAACCTCTTTTCCCCATGCAGTCTTCTCTTCATATCCACAGCCAATAACATGAATGGCTTCTTTGATCAGCATTGAGGGATCGGCAGATTCAGGGACCCCTCCATTCTCCATTAGTGTAGATTCAATGAAAACAGTGGACAGACCAAATGTTTTCTCAAAGCTCATTTGTGAAATCAGCATTGACCTCTCATATTCATCATAATCTGCAAGAATAAAAAGAAACAAGAAGCATTTTCCTCATTGAAGATTCTTCTGTGTTTAAGTAACACTTATTCAAAATTAACTGTGCTTACTGTCAATCTCCCTGAGGTTGAAAATGGCAGCATCAAGTTCTTCCCTCTTTGCATCTCTATAAAGTTCTGAGATATCTTTGGATGGCTTCTTTGAAGGGCAGCAACAACAGGATGATGATTTTGGTAATTTGGGCATAGAAGGTGGGCTATAGCCATAAAGTGCTTGTCTATTGAAAACACATCCAGTTCCCACATACATAGGTCCTTGAATGCCATCAAGTCCTTTCATGTTAACCTGAAAGAGATCAAGGTTGGAAACTACAGTAAGTGTTGTGTCCATGATTTTTACTTTATACAAGTTATGCCACCTCATGCACTTTATGCATTACCATTTTAATATTGTTAACAATGAAACAATATATGGACATAGAAGCCGATGAATTCCAAATCAATTGACTCTTATTTATTCACAAAAAGAAAACACATGATAGTTGTGAATACTTGTTTGATGCTCCATATTTCTACCACAGAACTCTTTATTTTACTTAAACTTACATCAAAGAAAACTGTGTTGCGATTGGCATATCGATCACTACGATCAATACCATCAAATCTCTGGGGAAACTGCACATAACACAGATCTCTACCAACTACTGGATCCATCAGAAAACACATTGCTTCCCGAACAGCCTTGCTATTATTCACATAATGATCACAATCAAGATTGAGAATGAAGGGAGCATTTGTGAGAACTGCAGACACCCTCACCTGTATAAATCCAAACAAGAATCAACCATTATTAAATCTTAATGACCTTATATATATTATAGAATGTTAATATAAAGTGTATATCCATACCAATGCATTTTCAGCACCAGCCTTTTTGTGGTGTTGGTAACCTGGCCTTTTCTCTCTAGAAACATACACCAACCTAGGAAGTTCATTTCCTTCTATGTCATGGGCACCACTGTGACCAAGGAAAACCTGGAAATGGCAAACATATTTTTTTCTTAAAAAATCATTTTTTGGAATGACAACATATAGAAGTACGGCATGCACTTGTTCCGATAATTGATCAATAGAACTAGGGAATCATACAAATTAAATAGAGAAGGTTCCCCCTTCCCACTTTCCATCCAACCACTTAAATTTTTTTTATTTTATAATATTTTCTCGGAATATAAAATATTCTTAATAATTAGATGACTACTAAAATAACCAGGTACAAACTGCTTATATGAATGCTCAAATGGATCGCTCATTTTTAACCAGAGAAAAAGTAAGAACAAATGTTGTGGATATTGAAGAAAAACAAG